CCCCCTTCCCCTCCACCGCCCTCTCGCTGTTCTTTTTTTTTTTTAATCTGTTCTCAATGTGCTGCTGTGTGGCAGTTCCCCCATGGAAGGTGAAGAAGAGGCTTCCGTGAATGATGGGGACAACAGGGAGCTCCTGAAAGAAGAGAGTGAGAATGGAGCTGAGGAAGCAGCAGCCACGGAGGAGCCAGCTGGGACCAGGGATACTGGGGACGGTGTTACCTCCCCAGGGCTCCTGCAGATGGACAGGGGCATGCAGTGCTCCAGCTGCGTGGAAGGTGGGTGAGGGGGTGTCAGAGCTGAGACAGGGCACACACAGACCTGCTGGTGCTGGCTGGAGCCTGAAATCCTCATTAAAAACAGGGCTCTTTTTGGCACAGTGCTGTAGTGCCACTGTGAGGGGAGTTTGGCTTCAAAACTTGAACCAACCTTCCACAGAATTTCATACAGGGAAGGAGCCTGGCAAGATTAGCCATCCTGCAACCCCCCAGTGGGGTAGGGGTGCCTGTGTGCCATAGTTGGAGCTTTTCAGCAAGTGGTATCAATGTCCCTAATGGCCACCCTCCCTCTGCAGGTGGAACAAACGCTCTCCTGAAGCCCTCAGCTGCCTCGATGGACAGGCAAAGGACTCCTGAGCTCTCGACCCTTGACAGTGAGTATCACAGAAACTGGTGCTCGCAGATGCTTGGGTGCAGCCCCAGTAAGAGACAGGAGTGGGAGAAATTATGCACTGGCAAAAGAATCTCTCATCCTACAAAGACAGCTGGGGAAAAAAAAAAGTCTTTTACTGCTGCTGGTCCCTTTCATAATGTAGCAAGACTAAGTCCAAATCCAGGCCTTGCTGATGACTCATAGCAGCAGTGAGAGGTCGCTGTAGCTCCATGCAGTGGAACTGGAGATTGCAAACTCTTTCCATATACTTTTCTCATTATACTACAAATTGCTTGTTGAAAATACGTCAGGCTTTCCAAGTGGAGCTCTTCCTCTGTAGGAGATATGAGGATGAACTTGAGTGCATCCCCAGGCTGTCCTCTGCAATATATCATGTGCAATTATGCCATTAATGCAAGATTCCTGTCTCCTGCGGTGCCCCAGATGGACCACGCCCCTCCTTGGGCAGCTGTTCAGGCTGTTTTATCTTCTCTGCTCAGCTGCTGTTCCCCCACACTGGTGAAACCTTGATCTCCAGGCTTTTCACCTGCAAGGCAATAATTCTTTTTTTTTTTGCAGGGGCAGGAGGGAATAGCTTCAGATAAATCACATAAGGTTTACATGAGCTTTTATGAGGCTTTTGGCCTTAAGTTAGTTTCATTCCTCCCTGTGCAGAGATGTGCCCTGACTCTCTCCTCTCTCTGGAACAGGCTTCCCCCTGAAGCACTCAAACACACTGACAAACAGACAGCGAGGCAATGAGATCTCAGCCCTCCCAGCCACCCTGGACAGTAAGTAGAGCTGGGCAGATTGAGCCGTGCATCAGACTTCAGGTGCATGTGGGGTGTGGAAGGAGCAGTGGAACTGGAACCTCCCTCCATCTGCTGCTGCCATACTGTATGAAGCATCCACCACTGACCAGCAGGAGGGTGTTAATTACCCACTGGGGCTTGGGAAGCTCAGGTGGCACTTCCAGGGACTCCCCTGCAGATGGTGGACGCTGAGCTGGAAACACTGTTCTGAAGGCTGAATTCTCTCTGTCCCCCAGCGTTGTCCATCCACCAGCTAGCTGCCCAAGGTGAGCTCAGCCAGCTGAAGAAGCATCTTCAGAAAGGTATGCATCCTCCTTTGGGTTCACACCTCAGATCATGCAGAGTCCTGCCGGGTCATAGAGCATCTTTTGATAAACCCTTGGCTTAAGTTTTACAGCCTTTACTGGGTTTACTTAGGGGACAGGAAGCAGAGAAGGTTTTAAGCATCCTATTTGTCTCATCTGTTTTTATGCAGGTGAGAACTTGGTAAATAAACCTGATGAGAGAGGCTTCACACCACTGATCTGGGCTGCAGCCTTTGGAGAGATTGAAACAGTCCGTCACCTGCTGGAATGGGTAAGGCCACACTTACATAGCACCTGATTATCAAGAGACTTCTCAGTTCCAAGCCCTGTGGCTGCCAAAATGTCTTGCACTGTCCTGATGTTGCCTTAGCCAGCCTTTTCCATGGCATCAAACAGGACACATTTTCAGGGGTAATGGGCCAAGACAATGCTGGATGCTTCTCATTGGGCTAAATCAGGAGCACAGAGAGCCTTATCTCACAGCTAGCAATAACTGTTTGTAATTAAATATCTGCTTATTGGTAATTTGAGATCAGACTTGTCACTTGGGCCCTGTAATCTGACAGTAAATGTGCTCACGGAGGTATCATTGCAGTTAATGAACTCACTGCTGCATTGTCCTCAAGAGCCAGGCATGCAGCCCAGGGCTGTGTGGAGGTAAACAGGAACCAGATCCTCCTGTGCCTTGAGTCAGGGTGCTGCCCAAAGCTCAGTCCCATATCCACGTGTCTGCAAGTGCTTGTGCCACATAAGCACTGGCCAGATGTTGGTTCTGTTAGCAGCAAAACTGCAGTTCATTACCAGAGAGACAAACAGAACCCAAAATTAATGAGGTGGTACACTGCTAAAGGATATACTGAAATCCATGACTAGCAGAGCTTGGAGCACAGGGTAGGTTTCTAGGTAAATTATTAACAAATAGAGGGTGTGTGTTGTCCGGGTACCTCTCAGACCAGTATTAATGATGTGAAAAGAGGCTGAGTAACAGGAACCATCAGGCTTAGTTTAATGACATTGGAGAAGGGCTTTTTAATTCCTCAGCTGAGATATTTATTGATTAAAATATGCCTGGTAAGGATTTTGCTAAGGAGAGGTCACTGGAAACATGGGAGCAGTCTCTTCTCTATGAGGCCATTGGGATGTGGCACCACCACCAGCAATGTCAGGCTACCCAACACAGTTCTGCCAAGTGCCCCAGGAGATTTCACACACTGGGACTGACATCTTTGCTGTCCCCAGGGTGCTGACCCACACTTGCTGGCAAAGGAGAGGGAGAGTGCCCTGTCCCTGGCCAGCATGGGTGGCTACACTGACATCGTCATCATGCTGCTGGAGAGGAACGTGGACATCAACATCTACGACTGGGTGAGTGCTGCAGTGGTGGGAACCACACCAGTGCTAACCAAGACCCAGACAGGGCTTGGTGAAGCTCATTTTAAAAAGGAACAGCGAGTTCACATTGTTCTATGCTCTTAGCAGCCATGTGTTTCTCCTTGCTGCTTCCCAGGCTCGCAACGCTCATTTATTTGCTCGTGCAATTGTTTTGAGAAATTAATCTGGATAATAGTTTTAAATTGTTTCCTCAGCTGCTCATACTGGTGATGTTATGAGCCTCTAGGAAACTGCACTCAGAAATTAAGGCTGCCTTTGAAATTATTTTACAGTATACAGAGAATAAAACCTGTGCAGAGCCGCTCTGCAACAAAACACCCAGTTTGGAGCTGGGAGAGGGCAAAAAGGGCAGGGCCTGACTGCTCCACAAGGAGCAGGAGCTGCATGAGCACAGCCCCATGCAAGGCCAGCAGTGACACAGCTCCTTCCCTTTCCCTGCAGAATGGTGGTACTCCTCTGCTCTACGCCGTGCGTGGCAATCACGTCAAGTGTGTCGAGGCCCTACTAGGTAATGGGGAAGATCTGTGCTTAGACCTTGGCCTTGAAATCACTGCTTGTTGGTAACCACCTTGGGGGGAGAGACTGAGCAGCCTGGGGGTGTCACAGGGCATTGCCCAGCCAGGATGGGCACTTTTTTGGGGTCTCTTCACCCTGTGCCAGCTCTGGAGGGGATGCCGTGGGAGCGCTGTGCCCTGATTTCCACTGCCTGCTTGCAGCTCGTGGTGCTGACCTGACGACAGAAGCAGACTCTGGCTACACCCCAATGGATCTGGCTGTGGCTCTGGGACACAAGAAAGGCAAGTGTCCCCTCCATGTCTGGCACAGAGCCTCATCTTCCCTCCCTGAAAAGCCTTCAGGCAATCCCCAGCTCCCAGCCCTGCCTGGGGCTTTTTTTTTTTGACCTTCCAGCACAGCTTTCTGACTCTGCCACGCAGAGAAACTGAGCCAGAGAAATCAAAATGGGTCCTATTCCCTTATTCCCCCTCCAAACCAGTGCTGTGCTGGCAGCAGGGCTGGGACAGAGGAGATCAGTGTTTCCACCTTCCTGCTGGAAATCAGAAGCAAGATAGAGACTAGGTCCTGCCCACAGAGATACTGCCTTCTAACAGCCCCGGCTTCTCTGGCTTTCATTTCTCTTCTTTCCCCCTTCATTAGTCCAACAGGTTATTGAAAATCACATCCTCAAGCTATTTCAGAACAAGGGGCTGGAGTGACACAGCAGCTCACACTGCACTGCGCTTCTCTGGGCCGACGTAAGGCTCTCCTTAGGGACCAACGTGGTCTGACCCAGTGGTCCCAAAGTGGGCAGCAGGAAGATGCTTCTTGCAAGGAGCACATGGAGGAAGTTGCGAACTGCAGCAGATTTCTGCCACTCCTGGAAGGTGGCACGGCCTCAATGCCTTGCACTAGGGACACTCACTCCTCAGGACAGCTGCATTTCTGCTCTGTCCAGGCTCAGCTGCTTTGTGAGTGCATTCAGGTATTGCATTTTTGGAAATAAACTCTAAAGCAGCCATGTGGAGCCCTGTTTGCTGCTTCAACTGCATCCCGCTGGTCTGTCACAGCAGCCAGCCCTCAATCCTAGCACCAGCTGCCTAGGAACTGCGAAGGGGAACTGGGCCAATCAACCTCTTGAAGGCTGGCACCCTCCTAGTGCCCCTAAATTTCTCTTCAGAGCTGTCTTTTTGAAGAGCATGGCTCGCTCTTATGCCCATAAACTTGCCAAGACCTCCCTGCATGCAGCACTATAACCAGCCAGAGAAATATCCAAGGGCATTAGCAAAAAGCAGCAGGAAGCATCTCCCTGCCAGCCAGCAACACAGCAGGGCCTCAGCCAGCAGCTGAGACAGAGCTCTGCAAGTCTGCAAACAGCTGCTCCATGTTCAGAGGTGGCTAACCCCTGAAGGTAAGAGACAGCCAGCACCAGACCACAGGGAGGGGGCAGCTTCTCCTCCTCACCCACACCCAAGCCATACATCACCATTCTGACAGCACTGAGTCCAGGACACACACCAAGGGGCTCAGTCCTGGAGTGTCATTTACCAAAAGAGCAATTGGGAAGGAGCTGTGGGTCACCACCATTTATTCAGCCATCTGCACAGGCTGCATCCCACCAAAAGACAGCAAAGGTGGCTTATAATTCCAGCATGTAGCACTCTGCACGAGCATCCCCCCTCCTCTGCCATCCCATGGGGTGGAAGTCCCTGCTCCGTCAGCACTTTGGGATACAGCTGGGGGTGGCACATCACTGCTGGTGGGGTTTGCTGTCCCATTCTCCCATGTGAGCAGCTCCCCTACAGGGGAATGCAGGTGATGGGTGAGCAACTGCTGCCCTACAGCCTCTCCCCCAGCACCTGGAGGTGGTACACCACAATGCGTCCAAAGAAGTCCGTGCTGTTCTCAAAGGTGATCTTCAACGTATCCAGCGCTGTCTCCTCCAGCTGGAATCTGTGTGGGGCCCATAAAGGAAAAAGAAAACAGGCAGGGGAACACCTTGACACATGGGAGATGTGCATAGGTGGGGATGTCCAGAATTACTGCAGCTCTGCTGAGTTGCCAGTGGCAAAGCGCCACCAGGCACCTGCAGAACTGTCACCAACAAGACAGCTCTTCCAGCCTGCAACGTGGCAAAGGATATCTGCATGGCATTGATGTCCTCGGGGTACAAATCAGATATTTTCACCAGTTCTTCACCTGTTCTGCAGCCTATGAAGCATACGGGGAAAAGGCAGTTGTGCAGAGATGCTGCGGGGCTCTGTGGGCTGCAGCAGGCACAGCTCCCCAAATCCTCAGGTGTGCACAAAGGGAAGCAGAGCACCCACAGCCCCTCACCTTCCAGCGTGCAGAGCCGGCTGGAGAACCCCCCCTGGAACTGAATGTGGAGCTGTGAGACTCTGACAGTGTGGGGGAAATCCAGGGTGACCCACTGGCACGAACCCTGGAGGCAGAGGTGGTACCGGGGCTGCGTTACGGTGGGGACAGAGGTTCCCGTCCCCTCACCCTCCATCCTCTCCCGTCTTCGTGCCCCCCACCTGGTCCGAGTTCCAGCACGTCTCCTCGTTGGCGTCAAACATGTGCTTCTTCCCGAACTGCTTCACGTCGCGGTTCAGCACCGAGCTCACCCTGCGGGGTGGGGGGGAGGGGTCAGGGGCACCGTGCCGGGGTCAGCAGCAGCCGGTCCCGGTCCCGGTTCCACCCCCCCCCTCCCGGGACCCGGACTCACCGCGTGGCCGTATCAGCGCAGACCAAAGGCTCCGCGGGCATCGCTGCGTGCGACGGACCTGGACGGCAATAAAAGCATAGCGGGAGCACGGCAGCACCCGGGACCCCCGAGCAGCACCGGAGAAACCCAGGAGGCACCTGAGCAGCGTTAGGGAACACGAGAAATAGGAACACCCGAGCAACCCCCAAACCCGCTCTCACCCCGTGCAGGAAACGCCGCCGCCCCTTCCGCGGGGCCGAACCGGTCCCGCCCCGCTCCGCTCCGCCCCCCGCCCGTCCCGCACCGCCCGGGATGATGGTGGGGGACGGGGGGGACGGCAGCCGTGCGCTGATCCTGCAAAGGCTTCGCTCCCACCCCAGGACCCCCCTCCCGGCTCCATCACGGGCTCTGAGCTCCGGGCTACGGGGATCCTCCCAGCGGGGCTGACTCAGAGCCGCCCCCGGCCCGGTGCCCTCCTGGTCCCGCTCTGTAGGTGGCAGTGGTGGAGCGCGGCTGGAAACAGCGGCCTCGAGGCACTGCAGTGTGAGAGTGCGGTGTGTGCAGGAATCCTTGCACGCCGGAGCATCGCTGCACACGGTTATCACTGCGTGCTCCAGCATCCCCGCACAGCCGAGCATCCCCGCATCTTCCAGCATCCTTGCGTGCTCCAGCATCCCTGCAATGGAGCATCCCGTGTTCAAACACCTCTGCACACCCCAGCACGCTCCCAAATCCCCACGTGCCCCCAGCACCCCTGCACCAATGAAGGAAGCAGGAGGTGACCCCAACCCTCCTGCAGCACTGATCCCTGCTGGGTGCTGAGCTGCACACCCCGAGTGTCTGTGTCCCCAGCAGCTGTGCAGGGAGCAATAGCCCTCTGCACACACATGGCAGCTGCTCAGAACACTCCCTCCCAGGCACATGGTGTTGCTGTGCTTGCCCATGGCTCGGTGTCTTTGTGGCTGCTCGGTGATGCTGCCAGCCCCAGCCCTGCTGCATCCCGCATCCCCCACCAGCCTCAATTTGCTGAGGGAGGTGACAAATGCCACCACCTCCACCGTGGTGGTCTGCAGCCCTCTGAAGCATCCCAGGCTGTTCGTCTGCCGGCATGAGTCACAGTGACCGTGCTGAGGCTGCCTGTGCTCAGGCAACAGCAAAAATAAACCCAGTGCTGCAAAGCCCTCACCTCCCCCTCGCAGCACAGCTCTGTGCAGGGCCTGGGGGCTTTGTGTTCCTCCCTCGGTCCCCCCCAGCTCTGTGCACACACGTGTGCATGCCAGTACATGTGTGCACGCACACACGTGGCGGTGAGGACACATGCTAGCACACACGTGCATGCAGTGGCACACGCCAGCACACACGTGCACGCATGACGCATGCTGCTGCACCTTCCTCCTCCTCCCTCCTTGAGTTTCGCCTGAGAAATTGGGTCAAAAACATAGGAGCCTTAAATGTCACTCGGTTAATCGCACGTCGGGGGACCAGGCTGCTATTTCTGCTGCTGCGACCCACGCCTCCTCCCTCCTGCCTCTCCTAGCATCATCCCAGCTCTGAGTGGGGCACATCGAGGTTTCTCTGCACTGCTGAAGCCCTACTGGCCTGGGGGATACCAGGCTGACATTTCCCCCTCCCTGACCCAGCCCCAACCCACTCTTTCCTGCTCAGCACCCCACATCACCAAGGCTCTTCATCCTCTACATCTCCTTCACTCTCGAGGAATGCCATGGGATGCTTCACTCCTGACTGCAGCGCTGAACGCTCCCGGCTGCCATCCAGCCTGCACTCAGAGCTGCCTTTATCCAAAAGCACATGGAAAAGACAGCAGGGCAGCATGGAGCCAGAGCCTCAGCCTCAATGCTGGGAGCCCCACTGCTGGGAGCCCCCCAGGAGCAGTGCAGGCAGGTCGTGCCGGAGTGCAGGAAGAGCTGCCAGGGCTTTTTGTGTGCTGGGTGCCGGCGTGCGAGTTTTGCTGAGCAACCTCGTCTGGCACAGGAGCTGCTTCCAAAGAAGAAGCGGGTGTTGTGCCCTTTGCAGTTAATTACTTGCAGCAATTGATTTCCACTTCCGTGTAAACACTGGGGATTACCGGTGAATGCAGCACAGCCCATTCAGTGCCGCGGCTGCTGCCCTGCACAGTGCTCTGCCTGTTCTCAGGGAGCTCCATGGGATGCAGCTCTGCTCCCATCCCCACGCGGAGGGGCTCTGGGTGCCCACACCAGTGGGTCTGGGAGGGGTTTGGTGCACTGCTGGCACTGCGATGGGAATTGATGCTGGTATCTTCGTACTGGGAAGGAGCAGTGCGTGGCAGTGAGAGAGCATTGCACTGGGAGGAGGAAGGATGAGGGATGTCATCCCAGTGACCTTGTTGTGGCTGGCTGCAGAACTCCCAGCAGGGTGAGCACCCGTAGGTGGAGCAGAGGGTGCTGAGCACCCACAGGGCTCAGTGACCCTCAGTGCCATGGGGATGGTGGCTGGACCACTACAGTGCGTCTGGGGCCAGGGAGTACATGTCACTGTGAGCAGGTGGCAGGGGGGGATGTGTGCTGTTAATGAGCCTGGCTCTGCACGCAGGAGGTGCTGCTCAGTGCATGGTCAGAACCAGGGGAGCAATTACCACCAAGGCTAATAAAACAGCACCACATCCAGCCCTGTACTAATTGCTGCTGGTGTCAGGGGAGCTGAGGCTGGGTTAATGTCCCCTGTGCCCATGCTGGAGGGAGGTGTGTGTGTACTCTGTCACCACACACCCAAATCCCCCATCCATGCCACACTGGGGCAGAGGTGCAGGTTTGGATTCCTTAGAGGTGGTGACAGTGCCACTCCTGGGAGTCCCTGGGGGGGGACAGGGATGAGTGGCAGCCATGTCCCTGTGTCCCCAGGGAAGGTGGGTGCTGTGGGAGAGCTCAGGAGTGGGGCTGGGCTGCCAGAAGGCCGGAGGGGGATGGGAAGGAGGCAGTTGCTATGGAAACAGAAAATAAAATCAATTCATCCTGCTGGTGGGTTTGGAGGGAGTTGTGCTTGGCCAGGGCAGAGCCCCAGCACCAGCACTGTACCCACAGCAGCCTCCAGCCCAACACTGCATGGACAGAGACCCCACTGTGCCCTGGTCACCGTGCTGGGGTCAAGTCCAGGGCAGCACCAGCTTTGACCAGGAGCAGGGACACTGCAGGGAGCAGCAGTGGGGCTGGGGACAGTGTATCCATGGCAATGGGGCTCAGCTCATCCCCTCTGGAGCATCGAGGTGTCCTGCCACGTCTTGTCATCGGCATGAGCTGCCATCGGGGTGTGCTGCCCTGCTCCAAACCCAGCACTGACACCGCAGCCACATCTCACCCAAAACCTGACACTGCTGCTCACCCAGCATCCGGCCCCGCTGAGCCGTCCGTCCATCCATCCGCCGCCTGTCCCCGTTCCAGTGCCCCGAGTGCTGGTCCCAGCTGCGGTGGCGGGGGCCTCATTAACACGCCGCTCTCCCAATGAACGTGGCAGCTCTCCTGGAACCAGCTCCATTAGCTGGCAGCAGACCTGAGCAGAATAACAAGCAGTTCTGTGGGGTGCGGGATGGGTCCCCACGTGCACCCCGAGCGATGCGGCTGCGCTGCTCCGTAACGGGGTCCCCTCTGCGCTGCGGTTCTCGGCAGGAGGCACGCCTGGCTGAGAGCTTCCAAACTCATTCCACGTGTGGCTCCCACTACCTATGGCCATTCTGTAGTGGGGGGGGGGGTGCACTGTGCTGATGCCCCATCCCCAGTGCCGGTGTCCCTGGGGGCAGGAGCAGGTCCTGGCCCTCGTTCCCGTGTTGCACCCATACGCCCGCGGCCGCCTCCCCAGCGCCCTCCCCGCGTCCCTGTCACAACAAAGGAAAACATCGCTGGATGGAAGCTGCAGGAGGGTCGTCACGGCAACACTGCTGCAGGATTTCACCAGAAACCCATGTTCCAGCTCAAAAAGATGCACCAATCCCCTCTCTGTTCCCTTGGACAAAACCGGATGGGGATGAAGATGAGCAGAGCCAAGGGGCAGAGTGACCACGTGCTGCCGTGCAGGGGGCTGCCAGCCTGACCCTGCTGTGCCTGCAGACATGGGACACAGCGAGCTCCAGGCACTGGGAGCAGCCTGGGGCAGAGCTGCTGGTGCCCTTCATGGGTGGGAGATGCCATGGGGATAAGGTGGAGAATGAGGATGGGCTGGAGGTGCAGCTGGACCCCACAGCAGACCCCAAGGTTGGGGGGCTGCAGGGTGCAGCCACAAAGGATGGAGGACTGAGGACATCCCTCTGTGCCACATGCAACATCATCTCCCATTCCATCCTGCCAAGACAGAGGGGGACAGGAGGCACAGAGACCCCACAGATTCACCTCTTGCCCTTAGGAACAGCTGACGGTCCCCAGTACGGTCCCCACCACAGGCCACGCTCCCCAGGCACGGCGCAGCTGCCAGCATGGGGGGAGCAGTGTCTATTAAATCCTCATCCATAAGCTGTGCTGGCTGGTGTCTGTTATGACATTTATCTCCACTCCAGAGGAGAGCTCCGATAACTCACTGCCGGCACCTTCGCTCAGCAAGACAAATGGCCGGCGGCGCATCGGCACGGCTGGGGCTGCCCATGGGGCTCACTGCTAACTGGGCTCATCCCACAGCCATCCCGCAGGATGGGAGCTGTTCTGGGAAGGAATCACCCATCCGAGGCTGTACGGCTGTTGTCAGTTCCCTCCTGGGAGAGGGGAAGAGCTGATGACATCCTCAGGGAGGGAATGCAGTGAAGGTGTGCGTACTGCTGTGGGTGTGGGACCAGGAGCATCCTCACCCCAAATGCTGCTCACAGGAGGAGGTGAGCATTTCGGGCTGACCCCATCCTGCTGTGCTCGAGGCAATGGTGCTGCCTCAAACGTGACCATCCGTGCTCCTCCATGTCCCCACACTGGGACACGGTGTGAGAGCCCAGCCCAGCCAGCACACACGGGTGCACCTTTTCCCCCAATATTGTAGACTGGAGACCTGTAGGGTGACACCACCCGACACCTGGGTGTGTGGGAAGTGGGAACAGTGTGGTGTCAGCACAGTAACAAAGCCAGGCCCTTCTCCCCTCTCCCACTTGGCAAACACCACGGGGCCCTTAACCCCTGTGCCTTCCCCCACGCTCGGGCACCTTTGGGGGCAGGAACGCCAGCTGCAGTGGCATAAAGGAGGGGAACAGAAGGGCTCTGTGACAGGGGCTCACAAAAGGCAGGAAGCAGCGCCTGGGCCGCGAAGTCCCGCACAATGCAGTCGGAAATGAGAACTTTGCTCTCGGGTTTCCGCGCACCCATCCTATAGATGAGGAAGAGAAAGGGTGCCCATCTCCGGCCAAGCTGCAGGAGACAGGGTAGCATTCTGCATTCAGGCTGGCAGGTTCAGGGGGAACAAAAGCCTCCCCTCCCATCCCCCCCAGCTCAGTGACAATCTCCCCCCAAGTTGGGGGTCACTTTTGGCATCGTAGCTTCCTCATGTCTCATCGCTTTGTTGGGGTTATTCGGGCTTTTCCCAGGCTTTGCACATCCTCCTCTTCTTCCTTTCTGCATCCTCTGCTTCCAGCTGCCGTGGGGCTGCGTGGGGCACGGGAGGGGGGGCTGCAGGGTGCTGAGTGCAGCAGGGGTTTGGGGGTGTGGGGAAGGCGTCCTTCATGCAGAACCCCCCAAAAGCATGCCTGGAGCCAGCCGGTCCCCATGCACCAAAGGGGTGGAGAGGGCTGCAAGGCTGAGCGCTGCTTTTGGGGAGCAGAGGGATTGGAGGAATCCGTCCTGCGTGGTGACACCCCAAAACCCCCGGGTGCGGGGCAGGATGCGGGGGCGCGCTGCACGGATGGGGCTGCATGGAAGATGCCCCCCTATTGAGACCCCCCCGGAGAAAACCAGCTCCACCCAACGGCGGGGTCTGCGGTGCCGGCGGCGGGGGGTGGCCCCGCTCTCAGGGGAGGGGGCGGCCCCGATCGCTGGGGGGGAAGGAGGGGGGGGGGAAGGGGGAGGCGACGCATGCGCGGCCGCCCCTCGCCCTGCACCGGGCAGCGCGGCGGGCGCGGAGCGGGCGCGGGTTCGCCGGCGCTGCGGGCAGGTGCGGGCGGGCGGCACCGGCGGGGGGGCCGCGCCTGCCGCCAGCCGCGATTGGCCCGGCCCGGCCCGGCTCGGCCCCCTCCGGGGGACCCGGCCCCGCTGCCCCCTATCCGCTCCCCGCTTTTAAGCCCCCGGTGCCGGCGGGGCGCTCGGTGCGCGGCTCCACCGGCGGCGATGACCCTCTGCGCGCCGTGAGTACGGCCCCAGGTACGTGCGGCACCGGGAACCGGTACCGATACCGGCTCCGCCCGCGCCGCGCCCCCGCTGCGGTGCCCGGTGCCGGCGGGGCCGGGGATGGGGGCGGTGGCACCGCTGTGACACGAGCGGGACGGATCGGGGCTGGGAACAACGCGGCTGTCACGGCGGGGGGATGCGGGCACCGGGGCTGCGGAGGGAGAGATCGGGGCTGGGGGACACCGGGGTGCGATGGGGTGAGGGGGGCTGGGAGGAGGGCTGCGCTATGACTGAGGGTTGGGGAGACCGAGGGGGCTGTTGGGGCCGGGGGGTGCAGGATGGGGAGGCTGGAAGGGATGAGGGGATCGGGAGTGGGGCTTGGGTGACAATGGGGTGGGACCGTGGGGACAGCAGGACGGAGGGACGCTGGGGACAGCAGGACGGGGTTAGCGGTGCTTTCAGGCTGGGGACACCCGGGCTGTGGGATGCCAGCACTGAGGCCAGTAGGACAGGCAGGGCTGGAGGATGGTGGCAGTGATGCAGTGACAGGGAGAGGAGAGCAGGGACAATGGGGAGGGTGGCAGGTGCTGGCAAATGGGTGCCCCCCGCTATGGTGTACAGCGACTCCCTCCCCAGGATTCACAGCCCCCTCCCCTGCATGCACCGCCTGCTCTGTGTTGGTGCCACCGGTGTTCCCCCAAAAGGAAGGAGCCAGAAAGTTTCACACGGTGCTCCCAGTGCCCCCTCCAAGCTCCCAGGCAGGGCTGGGTCCCATCAGGAGCTCAGCAGCACGGGCAGGATGAATCCCAGTTCCCCCAGCATGGGGACACCGCGTGGCAAGGCCGGGCTGCAGCGATGCGGGGGGGAGTGGGTGCAGGTTTGGGTACCGTGAAGGGTTTGGGATGCTCAGAGGTGTCCCCAAGGTTCCAGCACACCCCATGTGCTGTGAGCAGGGAGGTGCTGAGGCCCGACTCAGTGCCAGCCCTACTGCATACATCCTGTACCCACCAACCTCTGCATTTGGGGTGGACACCGGTGCTGCTGGTGGAGCTTGCAGTGATGCTATGTGGGGTTTGGGGCTCAGTCTCCCAGGGAGAGCCAGAAATCGGGGAGGAAAAGAAAAAGAAAAAAAAAAAAAGCAAATAAAAATAAGAGCAAATTCTAAAATAAAGGCTGCAGACTGTCTGCCTAATAAAAATCGCACCCAGCAAAGGGCCCATATTGGACACGATCACAGTTTTCCGAGGTGCTAATTTATGCTCGCAGGATGGGGGGGGAGCGGAGCGTCACGTTGCTGTGACGGCAGCGCGGAGTGCAGAATTCCTTTGTTGTGGGCAGAGAGGAGGGGACGCGGAGCCGCCGGGTCCTTCAGCGACCGCGCAGCGCAGGGGGGTCCGCGTGGGTTCCCCCTCCCCGCCGAAGGGATGTGGGGTGCGGGGGGGGCACCGCGCTGCGGGGACATCGCGTGGTGTTGAAGCGCTGCGCGGTGCCCTCGGTGGAGTTGGGTACCGGAGTGAGTCGCGGGGACAGCGGAGGTCACGGTGCCGGCATCCGCCTTGGAGGGGGGGGTGCGGGAATGGAGCATCCCTACCGCCGAGGGTGGGGGCACCCCGTCCTCCTGTGGCCCCACGAGGTGGTGGTGTCCCCTTCCCTCCCACCCATCCCCAGCCCGTGTCCCCCCGGCTGTCCCCAGTGTCCTCTCCGCTTATCCCGCAACCCTCCCCCACCCCCCCCACGGCTCGGGGCGACTCGGGACCACGAAATGCCCCAAAAGTCGCAGGGTCGTCCCGGCACCCAATCGCCAGGGAGGAATTCAGCTAGGTTTCAGCTGGAGCTAATCATCAGCCCCTGCTTTGCATATTCATGAGCGAGATGAATTATTCATGAGGTGACAGCTAGTGACAGATGTGACAATGTTCGCCTGGGCCGGGGAGGAGGGCTGCGGGGGGAGCGGCTTTGCACCGGCGTTATTTTAGATTTCTCTCGTCTGCTTTTTGCCCGGTTTGCAGCAGGGCCGTCCGGGGTTTGGGGACGCTGCTATTGTCCCCAGCACGGCCCGGCCACGTGGCACCACCAGTGTCACCGTGTCACCAACCCGCGGCATCACCCAGCCACCCACCCGCAGCGCTCGGGATGCGGTGACAACGGTGACACGGCCGATGCCGGCTCTGGGCGCCAACATCCGTGCGCCGGTGCCACCGCCGAGGACAGCATGGTGACACCCGGCTGAACCCGGGATGGGGTCACCAGGGCTGGGTTATGGGGTGGAGGGTCCAGGAGGTGGGAGGAAGGTGGCTCTGTAATTAACGGGGCGCTGAGTTGGGGATGCTGTGATAAGGAGAATCGCTGGGGGAGGGGGGCGGCTGTGCCAGGCTCTGCTTTGTCCCCAGTGGTCCCGATGGGGTGTGTGGTGGTGGCTGTGTGTGGTTTCAGCACTGGGATGGGATTCAGTCAGGGATGGGGCTGCAGTGCTGCTTCCCTGACCTTGGGATCAACTTTTGAGGTTGGCGTGGGCTCAGCGTGGGCTCTGGGGATGTGGCAGGGTCCTCCTTTTGTCCTCCTGCTCGGAGCAGTCCCAGTGCCATCGGGGATGTGGTTCCCATGTGCTCAGATGCGGGTCACAGCAGCATGCTGGGGCTGTGTGCCCTTTTCCCAGGCTGGGGGACACCAGGACCCCCCTGGTTCACAGCCTGAGGTCCCCGGGGAGGCAGCGGGTTCTGATGTCCCCTCCCAGTGCTGCGCTGTTCCTGCTGCGAAAGCAAAACCTGCAGAAATGCTGATGTCAGGGAAGGTGACTGTCATGCAGCCCCATATCCTCTCCGTGCACGGGGTCCTGCTGCCAGCCCAGGGGTGGCCGTAGCACTGCGGTCCATCCGTCTGTCCGTCCATCCGGCCACGGCAGGCAGTTGCACACCCAAAGAGCAACTTCCATGTTTAACATTTAAATAAAATATTGAATGTTTACCCAGCGGTGCGGGCCGCGTTTGCTCAGTGAGCGTCCGTCTGCAGAGCAGCAGCACTGGGTAAACAGCAGAGAGCTTAAGGAAGTGTTTATATGTGGGCACGTGGATGAGGATCCTTGGGGTCCCACTGCGTTCCTTCACCTCTGGGTCTGCCTCATTGCCTGGTGTGGCCTGGAAACTGCAGGGGATGGGTGCTGAGGGGTGCAGAAAGGGAAAAACGAGGGCAAAAAGACCAAAAGAACCAAAAAGGGATTGTGAGTGATGTGAAGTCTTGGGTTGCGTGCGACTGCTGCATATCCTGGGTGCACCCATCCTGCAGCAGCATCTGGGTCTTGCACCCACCACTCACTCCATCCCCACCTGGAGGTCCTGGAGCCGCCTCTCCCCACATCCCTGGACCAAGGGTTTGTGCTGGGAGAGTTCCTGATGCATTAGAATAGCAACATCAGCATTTCAGTGGGGAGGAGCTGGAACTCCCCAACCTGGCCACGCCACGCCATGCCAAGGCACTTGGTTATCTTCTTTTTCTGGAGCAGGGAAATGGGGAAAAGTTGAGTGCTGATTTCCATGTGGGCATCATTGATGGCATCTCCATCCCCAACAGCAGAGCTTAGCAGCCCCTGGTTGCCTTCACTTCTACAGCATCCCACCCCACAGCAGCCACTGTACCCAGCCAGGCTCTTGGGCATGCTGTGGGACAACTGTTCCCTGCTGCTCCCTTATCTCTCCTGGGGTGACTCGGCTGGGGCTCAGCATGGAGCTGCACTGAAGGTCAGGTCACCCCTTTGCTTTTGTTGGCAGCAGTTTTTGGAAGCAGAAAGTACCACGGAGCTGTGCAAAAAGGAAGGGGCAGCCATAGGGTTGCAGATGGTTTCTTCTGTAGAACAGATGAAATAAAACCCAGTTCTGTACCCCCCAGAAGGGCCATTTTCTAGCACTGAACACGGGGGGTCTCCTTTTCTTCTTATCATTTGGCTTTCTTTCTATTTTTGTCCCGTAAAAGCAGAAGGGACAGAGTGAGAAATCAGGAGTTGGAAAATGGAACATCAGAGCACAGGGAAGCTGGGGGCTGAGCCAAAGCTGCAGCGTGGGAGGGTCGGGGGGGTTCCATCCACATCCCCCAAAGCAGGAACTCCCCATCCTGGGCAGAGAACAGGGCTGTGCCAGTGCTCGATAACAGAGCTGGGGAGCCAGCATCCCTCCCGGGCTGGAGAGCAGATGATTTAGAAAGCTCTAATCGGTGCTGCGGTAAAACAGATGGATGGGAGCTTTGTGCTCCAGCTCGACTCCAGCAGCCGGAGGCACCCGCTGCATGTTAATGCTGGAGCAGAGCGAGGGCTGCACCTGGTGCTGGGGGGGCCCCATGTGCACCCATACCCCTATAGTGGAGGTGTGGGGATGTCACCACGTGTGGCACCAGGAGCAAAACTGAACTCACTGCGCTCGTGTGCTGCTGCTGAGCAGAGTCAACGCTGCTCCCGTGGCGCCTGGGGGGACGATGTCACTGCATCCCCACGGTGATCCGTGGAGCACAGAGCCGAGAGGCAGCGAGCAGCCGACCCTGCTCTCGTTGCAGGTTAAGGATGGTCCATGTGATGGGGGATGCCGGCTGCTGGCTCCTGCTTGGGCTCACCCTGCTCCCCATCGCTGTGCTGGGTAAGTGGAATGCGGGGATGGGTGCTGTCCCGCCCCCCCTTGGCTGTAGGGTGAGGAGGAGCAGGGCTGGGAGAGGAGCAGGGAGTCATCTCGAGTCGCCAGCACTCAGTGGCTGGGGATGATGAGCCCGCAACAATTAGCAGCAGTGGCAGCAAGCAGGGAACGACCAGCAATAAGGAATACTTACAAGGAGAAGCAGCAGCTCGGTGGGGGTTGGGGCTGCACGGTGCCCACACTGTGCCTCAGCCCCGCAGTGGGATGAAGAAGGGTCGGCAGGGGATTAGTGAAGGAAAAGCCCCCCGGGTGGCCATGCTCCCCCCGCGCTGGGATCCCTTAAACCCTTAATCCCGTTGCTTGGCACCCCCCTCTGAGCCAACCCCCATAGCTGGCTTTGTGCATCTCTGGGTCTGCTTTGCATCCCCACCTTTCCCCCCCCCCCCCCCCCCCCCCCCCCCCCCCCCCCCCCCCCCCCCCCCCCCCCAGCAGCAGGCCACCCATGTCCCCATCCCTCACGGCAGGGACACAGCAGCATTCCATTGCTGTGGAGCTTTCTGACCCTCCTGCACCCCCGAGGCAGGAATGGGCTCGGGGTGAAGCTTTGCGGGGTGGGAAAGCAGTGGAGAGCAGCACCAGGATTAGTGACCATCCCCAACTGGCTCAGCACTGCGGGGAGCATCCTGCATGACCCTGGGGGGAACTGAGAGTGATGGGATTTATGGGAGCGTGGCCAGGCCGAGCAGGATTAGTGCAGGAGGAGGATGGAGGTCTTTTCCAACCTCACTGATTCTATGAACCTAGGAATCGCTGCCATGCTTTCTCCCAGCTTGAGGGTGGCTTCCCCTGGTGCCACTGAATGGCAGCGCAGGGAAGGAGCAACCCCTCTCAGTGCCCCATTTTGCAGCCCACCCCCGTGGTGCCCCACACCTCTCCCCACAGGCTCCCAGGACGATGGGAAGGTGATCCACATCAGCCGGGTGCAGCACCAGGCGGTGCGAGTGGGGCTGGGGGAGCCCGTGGCGCTGCCCTGCCTCTTCCTGCTGCATCCCTCCGCCTCGCTGGGTCCCAACGAGCCCCCGGACCCCCCCCGTGTCAAATGGAGCAAGGTGCGCTCGGCCAGCGGGCAGCGGGAGGACGTCCCCATCTTGGTGGCCAAGGACAACGTGGTGAAGGTGGTGAAAGCCTATGAGGGTCGCGTGTCCCTCCCTGGCTACGCCCGTGACCGCTACAACGGGACACTGCTGCTGCGTGCTGCCCGCGCCAGCGATGCGGGGCTGTACCGCTGCGAGGTGGTGGCTGGCATCGATGATGAGCAGGACCTGCTGCCCCTTGAAGTGATGGGTGAGTTGGGGGGGCTGCAGGGCAGCTGTGAGTCCTGCACCCTGTCTGAGTTGTGCAGTCCCCGTGAGCCACGCGCCCCTTGGATGCCCTACAAGCAACACGCAGCACGCGTGGCTTATAGGGGATGCATGGGATGCATGTGAATAGCACATATCTGATGAGCCGTGTGTCCTGTGTGAGCTGTAGGGTGCATCCTCTGCAAGCTGTGCATGCTGTGAGCCATTCACCTCATGCAAGCCATGCACACCCTACAAGCTGTGTACCCTATGTGAGCAGTGCACTCTGTGTGTCCTCTGCAAGCTGTGCATGCTGTCAGCTCCCCCTGAGCTGTGCAGCCATGCAAGCCATGCACACCCTACAAGCTGTGCACTGTATGTGAGTTGTGCACCATACGCAAGCTGTGCATGGTTAGATGTTGTACTGATACGCTTTAGTGGGGAAATAGTGGTGGTAGGTGGATGGTTGGACTGGGTGACCTTGGAGGTTTTTATCAACCTTGGTGATTCTGTGCTGTGCGCTCCCTGTGAGCTGTGCACCCCATGCAAATCTTGCATGTGAAAGATTCACAGCCCTCTTCTGCAAGCTGTGTGCCCGCATACCCAGCCCACCGTGTGAGCAGCACTGCTCCTTTCCAGGTGTTGTCTTCCACTACCGCCCCGCGGGCGCTCGCTATGCGCTGACCTTCGCTGCTGCCCGCCGTGCCTGCATGGACAACTCAGCCATCATCGCCTCTCCCCAGCACCTGCAGGCTGCTTTTGAGGACGGCTATGACAACTGTGATGCAGGCTGGCTGGCCGACCAGAGCGTGCGGTAAGTGCGTGGCACGGGCACACCTCATCACTGCTGGCACAGAGCCGGGCACCCAGCACAGCCTGTCCCGCAGGTACCCCATCACACTGTCCCGACCCGGCTGCTATGGGGACCGCAACAGCCTCCCCGGGGTGCGCAGCTACGGGCAGAGGGAGCCTGGTGAGCTGTACGATGTCTACTGCTACGCACGGGAGCTGCAAGGCAAGGAGCAGTGGGTGATGCGTGGGACATCCCTCGGTGCCACCGCAGGGATGGGGACGGCCATCCAACGCGCCGTGCTCTCTTGCAGGGAAGGTGTTCTATGCCACGGCCCCAGGGCGCTTCACCTTGTCGGGGGCACGGAGGCATTGCTGGGGCCGTGGGGCTGCGTTGGCCACCACAGGGCAGCTGTACCTGGCCTGGCGTGAGGGCCTGGACCAGTGCGACCCGGGCTGGCTGGCAGATGGCAGCGTGAGGTACCCCATCCTGGCTCCACGCAGGAAGTGTGGCGGTGAGGCGCCGGGTGTCAGGACTCTCTACCGCTTCCCCAACCGCACGGGTTTCCCCCCACCCACCTCCAAATTCGATGCGTACTGCTATAAAGGTAACAAGGATGGGCCTCGGGGCCACCGCCGTGTGACAGACAGCAGCTCACCCTCATCCCCCATCCCTGCAGGGGACGTGGCAGGTGCTCCCGATTCTACTGCGGAGCAGAGGGAACAGGAGCCGCTGGGCAGTGACAACGTGCTGGTGGAGCGTGAGGACATGGCCACCTCTGGGGACAGCCCACGTGCCGGCGTCCTGCGGCAGCTGGGGGCTGCAGGGCCCAGTGGTGCCGAGGACGAGCAGTTGCAGTTGGCAAGCAGTGTGACAGCAGCGTGGCGTGGTGACATCCCCGGGGGCAGCATTACAGCCTCTTCATCCTCTCCATCCTCATCGGTGTGGCCGCTTGAGGATGAAGCCCTCAATGCAGTGGACCAGGCACCGCGGGGCTCCACACAGGAGCTGTTTGGCAGCAGCCCGGCGCCGGCACTGCGAGAATTCCCTGACCCCATGGAACCCCTGTTCACCCTCCATCCACAGACCCGAAGTCCAGCCCAGGAGATCACCAGCTCACCACCAGCACCACCAGCTTTGGGGACGGTCCCCATTGTGGCAGCAGAAACCCCCAGCACCCCAAAACAGAGCAGCTACGCTGGGCTGAATGGGCGCTACTTCCAGCTGCAGCAGCAGAGCCAGGACCCCTCGGTGGCCCAGGACCCCACAGTGGTTGATGACCACACAGTGGCTGGGGACCCAGCGGGGACAGTCACCCTGGCCCCCATCCTGGCCCTGGAGGTGAAGGGGGCTGCAGCCAACGCAGTAGAGACGTGGAGCATCACCCGTCCCAGTGCTGAGAGCCCCCATAGAGGAGGTCCCTATCCACTCTCCAACGAGGTGGAGGAGATTGGCCACAGTAAGTGATGCCCAGGGTGGGGGGGTGGCGTTGGTGTGCAGCCACCCCACCCAGGGGACCCCACAGCGCTCTATCTTTTGCAGAGCTGTTGGCACCATCCACCATCCCTGTGCCTCCCTCCCAGAGGGGTTTACCGCAGTCGAGCCTCTCTACAGCCCCACATGGTCCCGGGGACCCCACATGGACATCCCTGCCATCATCCCCACCCACTCCTGTAGCTCCCAGTGACCCTTCCCACCACCAGGACGTCAGCACTGGGGAGGCTCAGCCCCGCGGTGACTCTCCTCAGCCACCTGCAGATGTCACCGAGGACTTCTCTGGGGATGCTGCCCCCAAGGAGGATGACAGCCCCATCCCTCCGTGGCCCCCACTGCCCCCAGCCCCACTGGTGGCTGAGGGCCCCGGAACAGCTGCACAGCCCAGCAGTGACAGCGGTGGGGCCCTGGGTGATGGCTCGTTGGAGCGGCAGAGGAAGGCGGTGACCTTTGTCCTCCCACCCATGGGGCTCCCTGGCAGCCCCAGCCCCACTGCAGCATCTTCTCCCCATCCGCAGAGCAGGCTGAGCCCCACAGATCCCCAAGGGGCACTCGAAATGGGGGCTGAACCCACCCATGAGCACCTGGATATGGGGACGGGGCTGCAGGACGAAGCAGCCATCAACGCAGTGGCTCCAGATGTCCCCTCAGCTTCCCCTACAGACAGCGAGGTGACCCCACGGTTGGGCTCCGAGTGGCCATCAGAGGGCAGCGGGCGGGTGGGGGACGGCCCTACAGCTGCCCCACAGCACCCAAACCCCTCTGAGCCAGGGCTGGAAGGAGAGGAGTATCCCCCACACCCCCCAGAACCCCAATGGCCCCCCAGCCCCAGCGAGGAGGACACCTCAGAGGAGGCAAAGAACAAACCCCCTACCAGTACAGCCACCCACCCCCCAGCACCCCCTGACACCCACTGGCCGTCACCCACCGCCCCCCACCCATGGGTGCCAGATGGGCATGAAGCCCCGAGTGCGGGACCGCTCTTTGAGCCCACCACGCCGGGGGGGGCAGGGGGGGCTTTGCTGCTGGATGCCGACAGTGGGAGTGGCGAGGAGCCCGTGCTGGAGGAGCAGGAGCTGCTGGTGTGGGCAGACAGCAGCAACAGCAGCCAGCATGGTGAGCACGGGGCACAGGGAGCCGGGGTTGGGTTTAAGGCAGAGGTGTCCAAATCGTGGGGTTCGGTGGGGACTTTCACTGGCTGTGATGGGTTTTTCAAAGTGGGCTGAGCTATGAACGTGAGCCAGAAAAGCATCCTCCTAAATATTTAATATTTGCGGTCGCTAATAATAATAGCAAGTGAGGTGACTCCTGGCTGAGGGCGTTCAGCACACGCAGCCTTTAGTGTCTGCAAAAAGTTAAAGGTTTCAAGTTTAGAGGCACTGAGAGGTGGAAGCACCTCAGTAATGACTGCCGTGGGGCCGCACTGTCCCCACTGTGCCACCAAGGAGCCGGGTGGGCATCCTGCCTCGTGGGGCTGTCGGTGGGGTGGGCTGGGTGAAGTGCCCCACTGACACCATTCCCACCCCACAGCTCCAGCTGACCCATGCCAGACCAACCCCTGTCTGCACGGCGGGACGTGCCACGCCAACGGCTCCATCTGCGGCTGCAGCTGCGCCCCGGGCTTCACTGGGGAGAACTGTGAGATCGGTGAGCGGACGGCCGCGCCATGATGGGTGCTGGGGATGGGGATGGGGAGGGCAGAGGGTGCCGGGGGTCTCAGCGTGCCTGCAGCCCCTCTCCATCCCTGCAGACATCGATGACTGCCTGTCGAGCCCCTGCCAGAACGGCGGCACCTGCATCGACGAGGTCAACGCCTTCGTCTGCCTCTGCCTGCCCAGCTATGGTGGCAGCCGCTGTGAAAAAGGTGGGGAGGGTGGCATGAGGGAGAGCAGCCCCCAGACCCCCAGCCCTGCCCCATAGTGGGGTGGGGATCTGAACCCAGGAGCCCCCATACACCCCGCGTGGTGCCCATCCCTCTCCCCACCCCTGGTGTCCCCGCATCCCCGCAGACACGGAGGGCTGTGACCACAACTGGCACAAGTTCCAGGGCCACTGCTACCGCTACTTCTCCCGGCGGCGCTCCTGGGAGGACGCAGAGCGCGACTGCCGCCGGCGCGCCGGGCACCTCACCAGCATCCACTCACAGGAGGAGCACGGCTTCATCAACAGTATGGGCACGTTGTGGGGAGGAGGAGGGGGAAGGGAGCAGCAGCACCCCCGGGTGCTCCCCAGCCCTGTGGATGCCGGTGCTTGGGGCCGCCTCTGATGCTTTTCTTGCCAGGTTTTGGGCACGAGAACACCTGGATCGGGCTCAACGATAGGATTGTGGAGCAGGACTTCCAATGGACGGACAACACTGGCCTGGTGAGACCCATGGGGTGGCTCCTCGTGGGGTGGGGGATGTGGGGTGCGGGTGCTCTCAGCCTCCCCCATTTCCCACCAGCAATACGAGAACTGGAGGGAGAACCAACCCGACAACTTCTTTGCGGGCGGTGAGGACTGCGTGGTGTTGGTTTCCCACGAGATCGGCAAGTGGAACGATGTGCCCTGCAACTACAACCTGCCCTACATCTGCAAGAAAGGCACAGGTATTGCTCCCATCCTTCAGCCTCCGGCATCCCCGTCCCAAATCCCCCAGCAATCCTCATCTCGCACCCTGCAGCAGCCCCATCCTTCATCCCACAGCATCCCCATCCCATGGCCCCTGCCTCCCCATCCCAGCACCCCTATCCCACAGCATCCCCATCCCATGGTCCCCAGCCTCCCCATGGCAGCCTCCCTATCCTGCATCCCCATCCTGCAGCCTCCTGGCACCTCTTCATCCTCAGGAAACCTCTCCCGAAGAAAACTCGAGCAGCTTCCCTTAATCTCCATTATTTTTTCTTCCCCTGTAGTTAATTCTTCCCTCTCCACTTTAATTTGCTTAATTTGCCACCATTAAAACTATTAAGCTCTCATTCCTTATCTTGAAAGTTATATTAACCTCCAGCTGTTCGCTGGGAGCGCTCCTCCTGCTCCCGCGGCCGCACGGAACGATGCGCACTCCCCAATAGGGCAATTAATTACCTCCGTAAATCCTCAGGAACACCTCACTGCAGCACCAATGGGATGGGATGGGATTTGTCCTAAGACCATGGCGGGTGTGGGGTGTCCCCGTGTCCCCTTGTCCCCATGTCTCCATGTCTCTGTGTCCCCTTGTCTCCACGTCCCCTGCCGATACCAAGGGTCAGGGTGGGGTCTGATGGGTCTCTGTCCCCCCCCCAGTGCTTTGTGGTCCCCCCCCGGAGGTGGAGAACGCGTTCCTCGTGGGGAAGAAGAAGGAGAGGTACAGCATCCACTCGAGCGTGCGCTACCAGTGTGAGGAGGGCTTCACCCAGCGCCACGTCCCCACCATCAGGTGCCACAGCAATGGCAAGTGGGACCGGCCCAAACTGCTCTGCACAAAACGTTAGTGGGGTCTGGGGGGAGAAGGTTGGGGGGTGGGCTGTAGGGATGGGGGCTCCCTGACCCCCCCACGTCGCCGCTCTTTGCCCCCCGTTAGCCAGGCGGTCGCACCGGGCACGGCGGCACCACCGGCACCGCCACAGCCACCCTCACCACCAGCACCACCACCACAAACCCCGCAAGGAGCGGCGAAAACACCGCAAGCACCTCCGGCTGGACTGGATGGAAGAGGGCCACTACTTTTAGGGCCGGGGAGGCAGCGAGTGTGCGGTCCCCAGGCACCCCAGGAACAGCCGTCCGTGGGACGGGACGTGGTGACGTCCCCTGATCCCCTCCAGCCCACCCCCCACACCTCTTTTATAACCCTCTTTGCTTTAGCTCCTAGGATGCCCGGCCCCGTAGGGAATAGGACCCAGCGGGGGCGGCTGCGTGTGCGTCCCCAGCCCCCCCCTGCATGCCCCACCCCGGGGTCGAGCCCCTGACCCTGCATGGGGATCCCGAAATCCCCACTGGGTCCTGGGGGGGCTGCCCCATGGCGGCCGATGGCCCCCTGGGCTCTGCTCCCCTCCAGGCTGTGGGGGGGACACGCAGCAGCCCCCACCCATCACCCCACTGCCCCGTGGGGGGCTCCGGTTTTTTAACAGCCCCCCCCTGTCTTCCTGCCCCACCAATGTCCCCACAGCCAGCACGGGGTCCCTGTCCCGCCCTGTGGGACCCTCTGGGCTGGATTTTGGGGTTGGATTTCCCTTTTTTCCGTTCATTGTCGGTTCCCCGTTGGAGTTGGCGTGTGTGTGTATGGCGCTTTCTGATCTCTGCTGTTTGCGATGTGACTGCAGTGTCCCGTACCCCCTCCCCTCTTCCGTGGCATTTCTGACTCTGCGTTTCTGTACTGCTGGACATTTTAATAAATTTTTTTAACAGTTGAGCAGCTCCGAGCCTGTGCTTCGCTGGGGAGACTGCGGGTGTGGGGACCTCGTGGAGGTGGGATGCACTCCCTGCCTGGTGCTCTCCATCTGCATCCTTTCATTGCTAAATTGGTTTTATCCAACATGACCCTCCTTCACACCAGGGCTGTGTCACTGCCCCACTGCCATCCGTCACCGTGTGACAGCATCACCTGGGGCTCTGGTGGCCCCCAGTTCCCTTCCTGCGTTCCCAGCAGCCACACGTGTCACCTCCTGGCAGCTGTTTGTTGTCATCAGTGCTGGAAGGGCCGTGAAGGTGATGGATGCACTGTGCTCAGCTGTGCCCAGCACAGAAGGCGCTGCTGTGCCCCCCCGTGTGGGGGACATGGAGTCCCCAGCCCATGCCCTGCTGTGCCCACAGTGGCTCAGGGGTCACTGCTGGCACTGTGCTGCTGCGGTGCTGCTCCCCACGCCTGGGGCTGGTCCTGATCTGTCAGTGGGGATGGGATGCAGTAGAGATGCTGTAGGGATGCTGCTGGGGAAACCCTGAAACATGCCCAGTTCTTCTGGACCAGGACTTAGGGTACAGAAAGAAACCACGAGCGATGTTCAGTTGGGTGGGAGGTGGGGTGAGTGCTGTCCCACGGTTCTGTGCACCCCAGGGTCCCTTTTGCTGTCCTCGCCAGCAGGCACCAGGCCAAGGAAACACGTGAGCCCGGCTCAGCTCTCCGAAGCAGCTGAAGCTTTTATTTCATCTAAGTCCAGCTCACAGCACTGTGGCTGCATGACACCCATTGCTGCCCCTGGCCGGGGTGGGCAGGCAGCTCTGGGCAGCTTCTGCACTAAGCCAAGCGTGAGGGTGAGAGGCTGCTGCCCCGAGTGGGCACCACCTGCATTGGTGCCAGATTTTGGGGCTGTGCCCCCCCTGCTGTGTTACCTGCAGCACCCCGAGGTGGGGTTGGTCCCAGCGCAGAGCTGGAGAGCACAAGGACACGGGGGTTCAGTCCTGCGTTGCTCCGGCCAGGCTTTTTGCACATGCAATGCGCTGAATTCTAAGCGATGACTTCAGATGGGCTCTGCCAGGTTGGTGCTGGATTTTCCTGCCCAGGCAGCTCAGTGCTTTCTCTCCAGGTGCCTCAGTTTCCCCCCAGGCATCACAGGGCCCGGGCACAGCACAGCACCCGCTGGCATCACCTGAGCTCTTCCAGTTCCACGTGCACAGCCCCAACCCTGGGGGCTCCCAGCGGAGTCCAAGGATGCTCCGCAGCCATGCAGGGCTGGGGGAGCCTCGTGGGGAACCCCAGCACCGCATCACACACGGTTGGGATGCCCCTCACCCTTCTTCTTCTCAGGAGGAGCATCACCAGCCTTTTTAAAGCAGTACACTCCAAAAAGCTTGTACTTCTTGTCCGGGAAACCCAAGTTGCGCACTCCAGGCTCCCGGCCACCGCAGCGTGCCCGTGGGTTGACGATGGGGTAACGGATGCTGCCGTCCTCCAGCCAGCCCGCCTCGCAGCGGTCCAGCAGTTGGATCTTCCAGGCAGCATACAGCTGCCCCACTTTGGCCACGGCCGCCCCGTTGTTCTTGCAGGCCTGCACCGCCTCGGCGTAGCTCAGCTTGCGGAACGTCTTCAGGAAGTAGACTTTGCCTGGGGAAGAGGGGGGGGGTGCAGAAAAGAAAAGGGTTTGGGGATGGGGTGCGGCACCAGCGTTGGGTGGAGAAGGGGGTGAGCGGTGCTGCCAGGAGGTGTGAGCCCCACATCCATCCCTGGGGGGGATCTGGGCCTCCCCAGCCCAATCCTCATTGGAAGGGATAGAGGAGACAAGCGGCCAGCCGTGGGGACCCCCCCTCAGCACAGGCAGATTTACGGGGCTGCGCGGTGCCGCTGGTGCTGGCGGTGCTGCCTGCTATTTATCCTGCCTGCCACCATTAAACAAACATCCGCAGAGCCCCCCCCACACTGCCCTGCCAGCCAGGAGGAATTTACACAGCCCCAGAGCCCTCACAGCTCCAATCTGTCTTGCCTGGCCCCGGCCTCATCCATCACCCGGGCCACTCGCAGCTGCAATTACCTCCATCCCCTGCTCAGCCCACAGAGCTGGGCTGAGAGTCAGTGCCCCAAGCAGCGGGTGATGGGGGCACACAGATGGACCCCAGTGCTGGATGGGGGTCCCCACTCCCAAACCCCTCGTGATGTGACGTGGGGATGCGCAGCCACTTCCTGGGGCTGGGTACCCTTGGCAGCATCCATCAGGACCCTGGCATTGCAGCACAGGGAGAGGACTGGGAACGGCCCTTTCTCTCCATGGGGAACCTCTCTCCAGTGCCTCAGTTTCCCCACTCACCGTTGAGGTTGGAGGTGAAGCAGAAGGCATCGTAGTGCTCGCTCTCCTTGTGCCGGTAGCCGTAGTTGCGCACACCCACCGGTGTGTCCTTGCGGCCACACTCCTCCCGTGGGTGTGAGATGGGGTACTGCACGGAGCCGTCCTGCAGCCAGCCTGCATTGCACCAATCCATGCCCTCCAGCCAGGCCTGGTGCAGCTGGTCGTGTGAGGCCAGGATGCCATCCTGCTGCAGGCACGCCTGCTGAGCCTCGTGGAAGTTCAGGGTGTAGCGGCCCAGGCGAGGATGGTAGGGGAAAATGACGCCTGTGGGGCAGCGAGCGGGGCTGGGGTGTGAGGGTGTCACCCGTGATCCACCCTTCACCCCATAGCAAAGTTGGGGTCACACCGACGCGATGCCATACGGAGCATCCAGGCACGGGGCTGAGCCCCTGCAGCAGGCGTGCACTGAGCATGCAGCACGGCTAACAAAGCTTTTCCCCTTTCCTCAGCATCCCCAGCTGTTCCAGCCTGTGCCACAGCTCAGCTCTGAGCCACGTGCGGCAGCGATGCTGCCACGCGCCCCGGTCCCCCCTGCTGCTTTACGATGCCGTGCCGCTATCTATCTCCGGCCTTTACGAGCTGCCAGCGAGTAAACCTGGAGCAACAATAAAAGCCAATAACAGATGCAATAAAACACGGCACATGCCGGGACAAACAAGCGGCCGTAAAGCTGAGCCCGACGATGTGGCACCAGGAGCTGTGTCACCCCACGCAGCACACGTGGCCACCAACGGTCCCCACGTGTCCCCGTTCCCATCAGATCCAGCGCCGTGCCGCTACCTTCGAGATCCAGCTTGACCATGCCGGTGTCATCCTCCAGCTCGTTGGTCACCTCGCACTCGTAGCGCCCGTAGTCCTGCAGGGTGACGTTGCGGATGATGAGCGAGGCGTCCCCAAAGCCGTCCTCCTGCAGCGCCGTGCGCCCGCGGTAGCTGCCGAACGCCCTCCTCGCCTTCCCCAGGGCCACAAAGACGTCCACGAAGGCCATTGGCTCCGTCACTTTGGTCCATTTGAGGCGAATCTCGTCGGGGTCGTGGGCCGAGACGTCGTAGTGGTAGCGGCAGGGCAGGATGATGGTGCCGCCCCGGTGTGTCACCACTTTCCCTGGGGCTGTCTGTACCACCACGGCCCCGCTGTCCCCCTCTGCAAGGGACACTGAGCTCAGTGGGGTCCTCGTCCCCAAAGCTGCCCCATGGCAGAGTCAGATGGGATGGAGCTGTGGTGGGGCAGGGCGGCCATTCGGCTCAGGGATGGGCAGGAGCGGCTTTTGGGAAGGATTCCACTTTTGGGGTAGCTTTGCAAGCCACGGCACAGCTCCGTTGTGCTTCCATGAGCATTAAACCCCGCTCTCCAAAGGCTACAGAGGGGCACCTGCTCCCCGCCCATGGACCCCCCAGCACTCACCCAGGACGTGGACCACCTTCTTCCTTCCCCTGGCGCTGGGCGGTGTGTCAGAGGCGAGGACACCCACCAGCAGCAGCAGCGCAGCCCAGGGCCCCTGGGGACACATCTGGGGGGAGAGCAGAGCCATCAGCACCCACCAACCCCGCAGCACAGGGAAAGCATCACATCCAACCTCCCATCCCCACAAAGGTCGGGCCCCACCTGCAGGACCCCCGCAGTCCCCCCCACCCCCCTCCCCTCAATCACAGTGTGCCCATCTCCTGTTCTGGCAGTGCTGCGGGGTGGGGGCTGGATGCCCCGCGGGGACCCCCAGGCTGTGCAGCGCTGAACTCCGTTTCACCCGCTCAGTTACAGCCGGGATGAATATTTCATGGCACGCGCTGCGGGACGGATCTCGTGAGTTATTTATGGCACATCTGGAAACTGAACTGATGGCGCGAGGGTGGGCTGCAGCCCGACCCCCCCCCCCCCCCCGCTCCAGCTGACCCACATCCCTTTCTCTGGGCACAACTCCGCACTGCGTCCCCGTCCCCGTCCCCCCCTCCCCCCTGGTGCTGCGATCCCCCCGTGCCCCAAATCCCCCTCGCGGAGGTCGGACCCCTCCCGGCGCTCAGTGCTCGGGGTCGGTGCGCGGCTGAGGGGCGGGGGGCAGACCCCAGTGCCGTGCAACCCCTCCTCCCTTCCTCCCCCCCCCACCCGTGGAGGTCCCGGTGCGGTGCAGTGTTGCAGTGCGGGGCACTGCGGCGGGAGCTTCTGGGCTGCGGGACGCGGGGAGCAGCGCAGCGCGGGGGGGAAACGGCCAGAACCCCCCCCTCAGCCCCGGCTCCACCGAGTTGCTCCGCACGCGGTGCCGGTACCGCGATGTACCGCACTTACCGTGGCTCCGCGCACCCGTGCGGCGCCGGCCCGCGGCGGGGGGAAGCGGGGGGGGGGGGGGGGGGGGGGGGGGGCGACCGCAGAAGAGCTCCGGTGCTGCCGGTGATGCCGGTGCGGCTCCGCGCAGGGGGCGGCACCGGGAGCGCGGCCCGGCCCTGCCCGGCTCCCGGCGCTGCGCAGGGCCGCCGGCTGCCAAGGTCACCGGTACCGGCACCGACACCCCCGGTACCGCCAGGCGGGCGGGGAAACGGCGGGGCGGCCGCTGGGGGGGGGGCTGGAGCTCGGCAGGGCGACCTCCCACCCACACCCCCCCTCGGTCCGTCCCTTACAACAAGGGCGGCACGGGGGGGGCGCACGGATAGGGACCCTCAGATCGGCCGGGACGTGAACGGGCACCCGCGGGGCATCCCTACACGTGTGCACACCCCTACATGTCTGCACAGCTCTACACACGTGTGCACAGCCCCGCACACACACATATGCATCCCTGCTCTGTGCAGAGTCCCCCCTCCCCGCCGCATCCCCAGCACCAAGGGCAAGGCAAGGGCAGCACAGGCCGGGGGGGTGGGGTGGGGGAATTTACGGGAGTGGGGACGTGGATAGCTGCTCTAGGGACACAGTGCACACACACCGGTGTTACAAAGCCGGACCCGAACTCCTTTATTTTGTAAACAGTTTTTTTTTTCCGTGGCGTGCTCCATGCTTCTGCATCCCAACAGCCAGAACATGGGCGGTTCGGGGGGGGTCCATCACTTCCACCAGTGAGACCCCCCCCAGGCCACCCAGCCGCACACAGAGCCCGCCAGGTCCCCCCAGCACACTCAGAACCACGGGGGGGCACCGGGGGGATCGGAGCATCGCGTGGGACCCCTCCCCAGCAGCATCCCATGGGGGGGCTGGCAGCTCACTGGTGCTTCTTGCCCCCCTGCAGGCTGCTGGAGGTGATGGGCAGGAAGAACGCGGGGCTGTGCAGGCAGCGGAGGGCGAGGAGCTGCGGCCCCAGCGCATAAAGGACGTTTGTGATGAGGAAAATCCACCAGACGTCTTCTGGGGTCTGGTATGGGAAGGGCGTGCGGGAGTGCAGTGAGGAGCCCAGATGGGAGAACTGCGCCTGGGGACAGAGGAAGGGGTGGCACCGCGGGGTGCTGCTCTGCCCCACGTCCTATCTATAGACTGCAGGCTCACTCCAGCCTATTTCTGGCAAACTCATCCCTGGCTCCATTAAGATCCACCGAGGAATAATTAATTATCGGGCTGCGGAGGCAGCTCTGGGAGCTGCTCCAGATGCAAGGTGGGTGCCCACCTGCAACCTCCCCTTCCCCCCCAGCTCCTTTGCCCTCACCTGTGCAACGGCCCCAGCAAACACCAGGCTCCAGTCGGGCAGCCAGGAGCAGCCTGGGCGCAGCAGAGCGTAGATGCAGAGGCAGAGGAAAGGGAGGACGTAGAACAGGTAGATCAGCATCTGTGAGCAGAGGGACGGAGCAGTCGTTGTGTCCTGGGTGGCACAGGGGTCCCTGCTGCCCACACTCACCTGCACTTTGGGGTAGGCGACGGGGTCACGCAGGTAGGGCTCATGCTGGTAGATGTACTCAAAGCAGGAGTCAGCAGGGCAATCCAACACCACCTGCGTGGATCCAAGGGTGGCAAGGAACCCACCCCAGTGCAAAGTCTGCCCTCCCCACCCTCTCCCCGTGGCACATCTGGCCCCCCAGCACTCACCATCCCCCTGAAGAAGGTGAAGGAAGCCATCAGAAGCAGGACCAGCACCAGCACCAGGTCGTGGGGCCGTTGGTGCAGCCACCTGCGCTGCTCCTGTTCAGTCTGGGGGGGAGATGAGGGTTGCTGATGGTGCTGGGTTGTGCCCCATGGTGATGCCCCACGGTCGGTGCCGCCCAGCCCCTGCCCCATCAGTGCCCACCTGCTCTGCTGTGAGGCACGGCACAGCCCTGGGCTGCTGGAAGAGCCGCGTGCCCGCCCAGATGGGGATGAGGACGTAGGGCAGATTGAGCAGGAAGGCAGCGCTGATGTCGGAGCTGTATTTACCTGAGGAGGTGAACGTGGAGTGGGGACAGCACAATGCCCAGCACTCATCCCTGGGGCAACACCGTGGGGTGCTGTTGGTGCTGGTGTCCCCCCCACAACCCCATACCTATCAGGTTCCCAAGCAGGAAGACGACGATGCTCATCACCAGAGAGCCCAGCCAGAAGAGACCCAGGCTCCTATAGCTCTTCCTGCAGAGGCAGTGAGGTGAGACCTCAGCACACAGCTCCCCCCGACCCTCAGCCCCCCGGCCCCGCTCACCGCTGGCTCATGGCTGTGATCATGGCAAGGTACAGCCCGTAGTGCACGATGCCATCCCAGTAACAGATCATGATGCCGTGTGCTGTGCGCAGGTATGGCTCACCCTGAGCAGATGGCAGATATCACAAGGTGGGGGTGAGCACCATCCCTACCCCCACACCCCCCTTAGGGGTCCTGGTGTGTCGTGTGCTGCTTTTGGCCACTCGTTGTCACCCATTGCAATGGGGCTGTACCTCTCTGACGTAGACCTCTGCAAAACCCGAAATGAAGCCATCCTCCTCCAGTGAGATGATCAGATCGATGGCAGAGACAAAGGAGAACACCACGAACACTGCAGGAAACAGCAGGGAGGGCTCAGTGTGTGACCCCACTGCCCAATGGGGAGAATGGGGGTGCTGGGAGCCCTGGGACTCACCGCAGAACAGGGGGTCCTGGAAGTAGCTCCCAGCACTGGCAAAGTAGATGAAGGTGAGCAGCACGGCAAGGAGCAGCACGGCCACCAGCAGCAGTGGGTTGCTGTAGGACAGGAGGGGGGGATTATGCAGGGGGGGGACCCGTGTTCCTTTGTGCCTCATCTCCCCCATCCAGTTTGCTGATTATAAAATGAACAGGCAGTGAAAAGAGAAGCCAAACACTGCAGATTTGTCTGAGGAGCGCAAAGAAGTTGCAGGGAAACCCGTCCTGAGCTCACTGCTACCCTACCAGGGAGAATCGCATTAGCAGGGGTAGCTACAGGTCTGCTCCAGCCAATTCTTCTGCCTCCCGTGTCTTCTTATGGCATCTTTCACCCCCGCCTTTAACCACAGCACCAAAGAAATGGAGCAGGGGAAGCGCCGCTCGCTGCGCACAAAGGCACCGCTGTGTGCCAACAGCTCACCCTGTAGGAAACTCCCATCACAACCCCAAAAACCCCCGACTCGTTTGCTTTGTGCCGGGGAGGGGGACAGGGATGGGATGGGGAGGGGTGGGTTATGGGGTGGGCATCACAGCGGCTCTGAGTGGGGCTGGGGTTGTCCTCACCCCCCCCAACCGCACATTCAGGGCATCCAAACCCGACGGATACTCATAAAAAAAAATAAAATCAACACCAAAACAATCAAACGATTTAACTGTCAGCGCATAAGTGCATTATTAGTAGTGTATAATTAATTACTACATGACTAATTACTCCCATGGAATGATTAATTCAGAATTCAAATACAAGAGCGGTGGTGGGGCAGCACGAAGGAGGGTTCCTCCGGTCACCGTCAGGTGTCACTCTGTGTGATGGGGTGGGGGGGAAACGGGGCTGCATCTCCGGGTCGGGGGTGAGGATGGGGCCGTTGTGGGGCAGAGGCACCGACCCCGCCTTGATGGCCCTGGGTGGGGATTTGGGAGCTGTGGGGCCGAGGCTCGGGGGGGGGGATATGGAGGTGAGCTGAGGGGTCACGCTGGAGCAGCGCTGGACGGGATGGGCGTTACGAGGGGGGAGCTCTGAGCGCCCCGACCCCATTGGCGGCCCGTGGGCGACCCCAAATCTGCGTTGTGCCACGAACCCGAGCCGCCCCGCATCCGCTGATACCATCAACGCAGCCGCGGGATGAGAGCCCAGGGCGACGTTCTGCGGGCTCGGCCGGGGCAGAGCAAACATCCCGCACCCGAACCGCAGCCCGACCCTCGATCCGAGCAGCACCGAACCCCCTCGGCATCGCCCCGCAGCCCGAAACCGCCCCGCGTCCGCAGCGTTGTCCCAACCCCCGACGTTTCCCCGCACCGCCCGTTGCTCCGTCCCGGCTCGAAGCGGTGCAGCCCCGCACCGAACTCACTCCGCCAACTCCGCAGCGCCGCTGAGGCCGAGAACCGCGGGGAGGGCGAGCAGAGGGGGGGCGAGAGCGCCCGGCCCGGAGCGGAGCTGCATCCCCGGTGCACCGCCGCAGCCCCGACGGACTTCGGCCCCGGGCCGGGCACGGACAGCGCCCTTAAAGCGGCAGCGGGGAGCACGGGGGGTGCGCGGAGGGGAAGGGGGGCTCGGAGCCCCCCCGGTCCGGGGCTGGGATGTGAGAGCTGCAGTGTGGGGAGGGGGAAACCCGGGGGCTCTGAGAATTGGGGTGGGTTTGTGTTGATTGATTTTTATTTTTCCAATTCATTCTGGAAACGAGGATTGGTTTGTATGATATGTGTGTATGTGTACGTCTATATTTTAGCTGACTCGTTCTGGAGCTCTTAAGCACTTAATGGAGCCAGGAGGGCACGGCTCTTCACGGCATACAGGGGAGAGCAGAAGTGCGTGAAAGCCAATGAGTGGGTCTGCAATTAATGGGGCTGAGCAGAACGCTGCAGCCCTGCACTCTGTGCCCTGCTGGGAGCCCAGCACCACTCTGACCTCCTCCTCTCAGCCCTGCTCCAGCAAAAGCTTTTCCCTCCGCTTCAGCAGCGGTGCTGCGTTTCCCCGCTGCTTAGCAGAACCCGAAGGTTCAACCTTTCCCCTCTCTCCCAACGCCTTCACAAATGTGCCACTGTGTCACTCTTTTGCCCTTTTGTTTCGGAGTCCGGGGAGCGATGGAGGAGCTCCGCACTTTGCCCTGGGCTGGGGCACAGCACACAGCACTGCCTCGTCAGCATTGAGGGCTGCACGGCTCACCGCGGACCTCAGCTCTGGGGTTGTGGGGAGGAACAACGCAGCCCAGCCCCACAGAAAGCAGCAGATGGGAGGAGGAGGAAGGTGGGCAGCGATGGGAAGGGATGACCACAGCACAAGGAGGAATGGCTTTAATCTCTGTGTGCCTCTATTGGTTTCATGGTTTTGCTGCCATCTTTTTAATAACTAAATGTTAAAAGAAGTCTTGTTGCTCATCTATGTTAACTATAAGTGATATTTGCAGTGCAAGATGAAGCCTCTTCATCCAGCAAGCCAAAACCACAGACACCCCTGCAGAGGCAGGGAGGCAGGCTGCTTTCCCAACACACCAGCAAGCCCAGATGTCGCACTGATGTCACACTGACCTTCCTCATGCGAGCAGAATTCCTGCCAGATTCCCTATCTTTGTTTCCCCACCTCCCATGCTCATTTCTCGTGCTGCTGAGCTGCACCAGGCGCAGCCCCCGTGCACGAGCAGCAGGGAATGCATGGTGCTCAGGGCCGTGTGAGCTCCCCCTGGGCAGCTCAGTGTCTGCACAGTGCCATGCATCCCCCCCTGCTCAGAAGGAATTCCCAGCGAATTTACAGTTTCAGATGTTTTTATTGAAAGTCGAGCCCTGGGTTTGGTGGTGTGAAGAGAAATTAACAAAAGAGAATCGCACCCCAAATACTTGGATTGAGGGAAAAGAAATGCAAAACAAACAAACAAGCAGAAACTTTGTTTTCTGGGAGATGCTGGGGATGAAATGGATCTAGAGGCAGCTCAGGCCATAAAAAGCCATCGTAAGACTGCTCTGTCCAGTAAGTCAGTGATTAAAAACTAAGGAACAAATGAGCTTTATTTTATTTACAGAATGAATGAACGAGGAAAATCTGTACTTGCAGCGGTTTCTCCTTGTGACAACAAAATCCCAACAGCCTTTGATAAACTGCGGTGCAAAGTTTGGTTCTTTGTCACCCACGTCCAGACACACAGTTTGCAGGTGGCTCGTTTTGCTCAGGAGCTGTGGGTGAATTTAGTGTTCAAAGCACGAGGCTGTTGTCTCTGAAGCTAAATGAAATCCCCTGTGCACCTCAGCCCTTGCAGTCACACTCCACGCGCTGCTCCCAACCTCCTCTTCTGGAGGGCAGAGGTGAAACGAGTAGGCACTGGTTGTGCAACATCACTTGGAGGTCAGACTGTACTTCTGGCTTCATGACAGCATAGGAACTCAGTTTGTCAGGGAATAAAGACCGACCAGGAGCCCCCAAAGCAGGGTAGGACAGTCCCTTCTTATCTCTGCAATTAAAGAGGAGCAGCACAGGCTGCATATCTGAAAAACAAAGGATCTACCACTATGTGAAAAACGCATTCTTTGTCAGTAACACAACGCTGAGCTATGTCTGAATGGAGTCCCTGAACTATTCCTATGGGTATCTTTGGAGCTGCCCTTGCACTCAGCAGGGCGCCGTGTTCACATCTCCATCCTCACCCGCTCCGTTCCCCTCTGAATACCACCCAGGCCTCATTTCAACGGCCATCAGGACACTGAAGTGTGAGGTGAGTGGGCCTGCAGCCTTTCTCCTGGCTGAGAGATGGCATCGTGGCTTCAGGAAGTTGTCAACATCAGCAAATAAGAGAATGATAATGCGATTTCGTAACATTTCACAGTAAAATTACAATTGTTTGGAAAACACGTCGTCCCCAAAAACATTCTCAGTAGTAAGGTCGTCGTGGATTGTTCTGCAAGGAATAACAAAGGAAAATTAATCAGAATTGCCGCCTTCACAGAACAATGAGCATTTGAGCTTAATTATCTGAAAAAGCCACTGAAACGTGACATTTCTGACAGCAAAACCTGAGGTTTCCCATCACAAATCACAAAGGCAGCTCTCTAGATGCGCTGGCACGCTGAACGTAACAGGCAACTGCAAGCTTACAAGCCTTTCACAGTCAGGAAAACAATTATTCAAAATAAGCCATGGATTCACGGGCAACCCATCTGCCTCCTTTGTGTGCAGCACCTACACTTGGTATGTACCACATAAAACTAAAGCCAGCATCCTTTGCATCAGAAAAGCACAGCGAGGAGATGCGTGCATGCAGGCATCACTGGCTAATGGGAATTTGATTCAGAATGAGAATGAATCAAAGGAACGTTCGCAGAATTTGATCTCTTGGTTAAAGGCACTGGAAACACTCCTGTTTCTTCTGCCTTTTGTGAGATACTTCAATGCTTTTGTCACTGTGCCTGCTCTGGTCCTGGGACACCTTACCAGAGGGTTGGGTCGGAAGCGGTAGGCGAGCATCATGCGCTTACGGAACGCCTCGTACTCATCATCCTCCTTGGTCAGCTCTGCAGGACGATCAATGCCAAAGCCAGCACCATCCACAGCAGTGGTCCCCCTGTTTAGAAAGGCATAATAAAGCTGCTGAGGGAAGCAGGTGGGCAGTTCACCAGAAATACCCACACCAAGGTGACGGGTAGGACCGAGCTCATCACTGCCTCTGCCACGTTTCCATGTTGTCCTTTCAAATGAGGTCTGCTATCGTTAGCTGGGAGCAGTTCTGTGAATGCATATTTGCTTACCCTTTTGGAGCTGGAGCAGAAATACTGTCTGTGCTGTAGGCTCCCCCTGCCCAACAATGCTCGGACAAGCAGACCAACCTTAGGCAGCCAAAGCTGCTGGTTTGTGCCTCACTGATGGAAGCAGGCAAGTGCTCAACATCCTTCCCTCCACAACAATCCAGAAGTGACACCAGCTCATTTCTACCTCCATTACCACCTTCTTAGCAATTCTGAGATGGCAAATCCAAGCAAAGCACAACCCTGGTTCAACCCTGTGACAGACAGAAGTGTCTTTCCTTCTGCCATTTTAAAGCCTCGCTGTTCTGAACACAGTGATCTTCCATCACAGGTCTCCTCTGAACAAATAAGCACACTGCCAGAAAAATCTGCCTGCAATAAGCAAAGAAGTGCTTTGTAGAGA